TATACATCTTTTGGTCTTCATGAAGTGGACAGAGGGATACGTATTTCATTTGTACTTCCCAGTTCCTAGGAATTTCAGGTCTTCGTCACGGCCCTTTATAAGTAACAATATGAAATTTTCAAGATCTTGGAAAGCCCATTCGCGCAATGAGGAACTTTGCTTCCTAATGCTTTGATTTTAATCTCATAGCTTGTTTTAGCTTAAATATTCATTTTTACCTCTTGGATTAAAATTGTTAATATAAAATCTGTTGAAGGTGGGGAAAATTTCAAAAGAATCTTACAGAATCTTCCCAGCACTGACAATCAATAGGAATCCAACAAAAATCGACAAAGAAGTGATGTTATCTTATGTTCAACAAGACCGAAATTAGGTCAAAATTTTAATGAGGCTAAAGTACATGGGTCAATCTATTACCCCCACTAAGTCTAGGACAGTGCCCTGGTGGGAGCGAACCCATCGAAAACTCCTTGGTTTTAACAAATTAAAAACTTAATTTTTAAGTTTTTGATAAATTTTACCATGGAAATTGTCTACAGCAAACATGTGTGACTGACATGGGAAATAGATTTTGCACTTTTTTGCATGTCAACTCATGTCATTTCACACTTTCAAATGAAAAGTTTCATAGGTCAAAAAGATAAACTAAACATCAGCAAAATTACCAAGTAGATAAGTGTCAATAAAAAAAGAAAAATAGCTTGAAATGTCAAGAAATCGAATTTAACTTTCAAAAAAATTGAAATTTCCTGTACCCTGAAGAGAACATCATATTAATACGGAATATCACATCTCAATTCCAGAGGAAGAAGAAATCTTTGCATTTAAGCTCTAACAATGTTTTATTTGAAATGCACTTTCAACCCGAATTATACATAATGCAATAATATATGTCTTAATCTTTTATTGTCGTGCTGTCAGAAACTAAAAATGAACATGAAAAAGAGAAAAAAAAATATTCATGACAAAAAGTCATATCTCATTTAAATAATTCTTTAAATGCATTGAATCTCCACTGAATTTACAAGGTTTCAAAGAATATATCAATGTAATAAATATATCCACCACAAAAAGGGCTCACACAATTATTGCATGTCAAACGTTGCAATATTAGATCTTTTCCACTTGTAAAGATTCTTATTTGTATTGCATAATATTTTTATTTATATTCTATATTTTCCATTTGTATTTAATAATTTTTCATTGTATTCAATATTTTCCATTTTTATTGTAAAAAGATTCATTTGTATTGTACATAAATCTTTTATTTGTATTCTATATTTTTCATTTGTATTTTATAATTTATAATTTCTATTCTATATTTTCCATTTGTATTTACCGTTCACGGTAGCTCAGTCGGTAGAGCGCTCGCTCCGTGATCGGGAGGTCGTGAGTTCGAATCTCGGCCGCGACAGACCTAAGTCGATAAAAAATAGGTAGCAACTGTTCCTTCGCCATGCGCTCGGCATTTTGAAGTGAAAGTTGTGGGTCCTTAGGATGAGACCTTAAAAACCGAGGCCCCGTGTCACGGCAGGCGTTGGCACGATAAAGATCCGTCACTGCTCAATGGCCCTGAGTGCCGAGTAAAGGTCAAAATTTGAAGCCCTTCACCGGTATATGGTGACGTCTCTATATGAGTGAAAAATTCTCGAATGGGACGTAAAACAATAGACAATCAATCAATCCATTTGTATTGTAAAAAAAAAATTCATTTGTTTTGTATTATTTCTATCCCATACAATATATTGCAATTCAAGACTCATCCCTTCTTAATGCAGAAATTTTAGCAACTATATTTTTAAGTATTGATGAAAATAAGTTTTCAAATAAGTACTTTAGGTTTTAGTTTAAAAACAAATTTTTTGGTGAAGCATTTGCCTCAATGGTTGTTGCAGCCTTGTGCAACAATCATCTATACTTATAAATTAATAAATTTTGCAAATAAACTCCGAAACGGATGCACCAGAGTTTTTACTTACTCCTTTAAGAATACACTAGATACAATATGATGTCCGTAAACTATATTTAGATTTCACTCGCATTGTAAATATCGTACATTAAATTAAAAGTCTACTTTTATTTTCTATAAAGAGCCATGAAATAGCAAAAACGTGAGTATGGTGGCGTTTCCGGTTGGCGGATCTAAGTTTCTGGCAATTTTCAATTAAACTGACAACAAGCAATCGTTTATTTATTTCATAAAACGTCATCACTGAATTATTCAATCAAAACTTGATTTAAAAGACATAAAAGAAATAAGCTGTGATAACCGATTAAAAAGGGAGATGTGCAAACTATTTTTGTCATTCACCGATCTTAATATTGACGGAAGCTTCTAGAACATCAAATAGCATCGAGCCCGATGTTGAAAAGAAAAACGAGACGAACATAAAAAAAGCTTATGTGTGAATCGTCATTGAAATAATGGTAAATCGTTGATAACACTATAAGTTGTGAATATATTTATATATCGAAAGACTGTTACATATATGTAGTAGGTTTTCCTAATAAATTTATCGGTAAAATGCCTCACCTAGAGCATCGTGGCGACGAACCCGAAGTACAATTTCTACTTCGTAATAAACTTGCTTACATGAAAAGAGAAAATTAATGAATAAGACATTGTTCAAATACAATTAAAGCTGTAAAATTTTGTGCTTTAATCAATACATTTCAGGGTTTTTTTTTGTTTGTTTTTTTGTTTTGTTTTTTTTCTTCTGAATACAGTCTTTTGTATCAAATATTCGGCCTATTCATAGGGCGTTAAAAGCTAATTTTTACACAGGTACTTGCGTCTTGGATTATATATATGTATGTACCTTATTGATATGTAAAAAAAAAAAGTAAAGTACATTTTTTACATATCAATAAGGTACATACATATACATAAACCAAGACCCAAGTACCTGTGAATTTTTACACCTCCCCCCCCCCCCAAAAAAAAATCAATTTATCAGTAAAATGTGAATATTCGCTGCTTTTATCCTTGACGGAAATGATATAAGAGCATCTGAAGTACAATATCCATAACATCATGAACATAGTATAACAGGTTTCACAATAAACATCAATTAATGAAATTGTTTTTTTCTTTCAAGTTTTTACGAAAGGGGGGGGGGGAAGCACATGCGGGATTTTGAACAAAGTATTTCTTCCTGCTATAACCCTGTAGGCTGTAAGTAGAAATTAACTACAATATATTTTATGTCGGTAGTGGTATAAATTCAATTCCCCGCGCTTGCGCGGGATTTCATCTAGTTAGTTTATAACTAGAGAGGTTCCATTTAACTGACAATTTCTCGTTTTAGAAATTGTTCATACGTAGAGCATGCTCTTGTGTATCGAATCAACTGAGAGATATAAACCCCATATGCAGGTGATAAAGGTATATTGCTACATAAGTAAGGGAAGTTAACGATTGAAAAGTTGAAGTCATCACGTTTATCATAAAGCTTTGTTGTTAGGTTACCACTAACGTCTTTTTCTAGTAAAATATCTAAATATGAAACAGATGCGTCAGGCTCTGTGATATCTTTTATTTCTAGTTCACTGGGATATATCGAGTCGAAATATGAATGGAAGTAACTATTGTTAATTGATAATACGTCGTCGATATATCGATATGTCGAGTTGAAGATCATAGCAAGTGCTTTCTTTTTCTCATGTAGAGAAGTTTTTTTAAATAAATTCTGCTTCATATGAATACAAAAATAGGTCTGCTAATAACGGTGCGTAATTGGGACCCATGGAAATTCCAACAGATTGTTGGAAGACCTGATCTCCAAAACCTACATAGATATTGTCAATCAGAAACTCAAGCATCTTGGTAATATCAACTTCAGAGTACTTGTGTGTACAATCAGAATGCTTTTTAACAAAAAAAATTTTGCAAATGACCAATGACAAGGTAAGTATATTTACGAGTTCCATTTTGATCGAAAAAGCAGCTGTCTTTGATATCAAAAAGTCTGGATTTCAATTTATCGTGGAGAATGGTTGTATAAAGTGTAGAGGTGTAAAATGTGATAAATAAAAATAATTAAATTAAAAAAAGCTTTCTATGATTTCAACTTTCATGAAAATAAAATCCGTACATTTAAACATTGTACTTTTTTTACAGAGCAGATTCTGTATTTGAAAAGATACATAATATTTTTAACCTGCAATTGTAAAGTTTCTTAATTGATGTAGATACTTTTTTGGGGTAGGTAGTAATAACATCAGTTTACTGCAATCAAAACTGTTGTTTAGAGACTGTATTCTATTAATCTCAGATTATATTTACCTTACAGACCCAAATACTCCATCATGCTTATGGAATGTATACACAAGAAAATGTAAATTTATTTATAAGGTATGTTTAATGCAAAGAAATATTATGCATTCATAATAGGCATTTGTGAACATATTTTGTATTTCATATAAATTTATATTGCTTATATGTATGTATAATCCATGTATTCTAAAACTGGAAAGAATCCTTTGTCAGGTGCATACTTTTACCACCGTTTACCTTTTGTCACAGTGACATATAGGCCCACTTGACCGGGGGTTAAAGTTAAACTGCTATTGATTTCTGTATTCATAAATGTAACAGGTCACTAAAATAAATAACTTACTTACTTACTATAATTGATTGAGAAAAAAATGGAATCAGACCTTTTTTTTAAGTATATAGACTAAGTATTTTGATCTTTGATATTTTTTGCAAAGTTCTAGTTCAGCCAAACCAAAATTGTGGGTGGAGTATTTTTTTTCCCTTAAAAAGCACATTAAAACATATCCTTTATAATTGATCATAACTTTTGTCAAGCTTTATTCAAAGTAAACAAAGTATTAAAGTTATGTTTTTTTCTGTGTTCTGTGAACCAAGTATTTTGAAATCAAACTGAGTCTCTCTCTCTCTATATATTAACTGTATTCTTAAACTTTCATTGTCCCTCAATTGTGATTCCAAACTTTTGAATAATAAAAAGAAAACAAGGTATGAAAAATGCATCACATTTATTGCAAAATATATCTATCTATCACATGGAATGTTTGCTTTTTAAGCTCATATAAAGCAAAAATATATCATTATATATATATATAGAATATATTAAACATATACAACACAAAGCGTACACGGGTATACATAAAAACACACAGTGTACAAGTATATAGAATCAAAAAGGAGTATAATGAAAAATGTTTTGTATATGCTGTATTCTACAACCAAATATATGTAAATGGAGTTATTGCTGGAAAAAGGTGTCCTACAAGGTTCATCACTTTAACAACCTTTCTTATCACTGGAAAGTTTTGGTTACAACCAATATGAATCTTACCCTTTACAAAAATATTTACAATGCTATCACAACACAATCCCAATTTGCTGGCATATTACATAACAAAGTATTTCATTCCAAAGAAAAAAAAAAACATCCCTTGTTCATTACAAATATTATACACATCTAACTTAGCATAGTTTCTGTAAAAACAAATACTATACACATCTAACTTAGCTAAGTTATTTGTAATAATTTTAATTCATACATTAATATATGAACATAAAACAAAAAGGCAAATTGAATCCCAAATTCATGTCTAAACATTTGTTTTTTTTAACAATTTGTCAGAGTTGCTGCACAGATCTTCAATAGATTTTTTAGCCATACACAGTGGAACTTTAGAAATAAAAATACCACTTTTGTAATAAATATAGACCTCTAAGTCATTTAGTAAGAAGCAGAAAGGAAGTCTGATTGAAATTAAAGTCTTTTCTTAGAAGAAAGTAAATTTGCCAAGACATGAGTACCTCGATATGGGAAAAATGTTCTCACAATTGAACACAGGAGAAGCAAGACATTCCCACTCTGTAAATGCCTTTCTATTAGGAAACACTTGCACCTCAGCAAATCGCAAGGAAATCATGTTTTTGTTTTGATTTGAATAAACTATTGTACATCACCATCTAAATACAATCTATTTCTGAAAAGAATACTTCAACAAAACAATAATGTAATTGTATTAACAAGGTATAGCAATATCCTATTAATTTATTATACCCAAGCTATACTTTCTAAATTACATCAATGAACTATTATATATGTATTTAAATAATTATAACTTTCTAAAACGTTTATTGATCATTATAAATTTGCTACTTTTACCACAGTCTCAAATATCCAAAATTTGCACTGCTTGTGGTAAAAACCTCACTAAAATATACAACATTGAACGAAAGTATTGATGTAAGTTCCGGGGTATTCTACATCTACAACCTAATGTCAACTGCTGGACAGAAACTGAAGAAAATTTACTCAAAGGCAATCTAAAAAAAAAATGTCTGTTTGCCCTCTCATGACCAAATGTCTAAACCTCCAGAAAATGATTTTTTCCATTCATTCCGGAACTTTTAATACCCTCAACACAAATTTTAATTTTATTAATACCTTCAATTTCAATAAATTTTGAAAATGAAGAATTCATATTGAAAATTCCTGAAAAAAAATATTTCCCTACCTATCTACTTATTCATTTTTTTTTCACCTTGAGTCAGAAAAAGGCAAAGAAACATTTTTTAAAAGATGGATCAACACATGCATTGCCAACAGAAATACCACAGAAACATTACGCACAATATTGCAGCAAAACTCGAGGAAATGACGAAATGTTAATAAATAACACATGTCAATTTTCTTTGTACAATTTTTCAAATTTTACTAAGTCTATTTCAGTTTTGAATTCACTAAAGTCTGTAGATATAAAAACATTAAAATAATTCCTTATCTACACCAGTGAGTATCTTGAACAACCCTTGTTTTAATTTCTTTTTTCTACTGAGTATTTTTAGTTTTATGCGGTGTTCTTTATCATCTGCGTAATATCAACAACACAACAAAATTGTTACTTTTTGAAAAAAATGTCCATAGGCACAAATTAACCATTTCCATTATTGATAAAAAATTGTAGCAAGGACTTTAGAGGAGCGCAGATTTTGAAAAGTAAATATGCTTCAACACTGCTATTCTCATATCACTCATAGGACAGACATGTTTTAAATGAAACATACAAATGCCATACCATTCCTCTTGTATACTGAACTATATACATAACTTGCCTCTCCTTTAAGCAATTTACATACTGACATAAAAATTATCCATCAACAACATATCATCATTACAGTACCAAACACATATATTAATATACAAAAATTAATATATAAAATACTCTCCTGGTATCATATTTAAGGCCCCTTGCTTGTCTTACAGACTAAAAGAAATAATTATGAAATAATAGATAATTGTGTAAACATGTAAACTGAAAGGTATTAAGGAAGCTCTAAACACTACACACTAAAGAGTTCTCATTCCATGGTTGCTTAATGCAGTTAGAGTAATCTGCCCTTAGATGTAAAACAGAATAAGAAATCAACAGCGATTGGCACAATTTATATCAAGGTATTCTTAGCATAATATTAGACCAAAATAAAGTAATTGAATGCATTATTTGCGTGTATATTACCAGTACAAGTAAACAACAGTGATTTCTGTTTACTAATACTTCATTGTCTTTGAAAATTTTTTTCTGGGGAAATATGGTAGGCACCTTATGTTGTGAACCAGATACAGTCAGTGTGTACCTCTGCATAGATATAAAGTCAAAGTCCAAGTCATTAGTGTTTAGAACCTCCTCAATAATAGGAATGACTTGAAAATAACTCTGTAAGTCACAAAAAAGAACAGCTACAGTGCAATCATAATAATATTTTGACTGATTTCATGAATAATAAATATGATGTTTTTATTGCGTCCTTAGAGCTTTATCTATAACTTTTTTTTTCTCTCTCACCATTGATAAAATTATCACTGAAAACATCAATGATCATAATTAATGCACATACAATGTCATAACTGGCAGACCATTTTACACTGGTTAAAATTAACTGTACAATGTAATAATGTTATATCCACAGTCATTGTGTATTTGTTACAAGTTTACATTCCAATAAGTGTAGATGAAGTGGTTAACACTGGAAATACAACATATGGACAACAACATTATTCTTTTACATCATGAAGCAGAGATGGCATATTGCTGTAATTGTAAATTTCTGTAAACATTAATTAATGTGTGTCTTGTACAGCTAGTACAATAAAGTAAACAACATAAAACTGTAGCATTGCAGAAATCATACATTTACTAAACAGTGATAAAGTATTGAAACCAATATTCTCTAAGTAAAATTTACAATGAAATGAAAATTAAGACTTAATAAAAGCCAATGCTCCATTTTACATAAACACTTAAGACTAAGATCAAAAATCTTAGTTCTTCATAGCTTTTGAAGTTTTGTATTGCATCCTATTCACATCTTAATGACAATTAAATCAGTGTAAAATATAATGTCAATTGTAAAAACTCTATTTTGATTTTAGCTGCAATTTCTCTTGTAAAATGTCTGCGTAGGAGTACTGTTAGATTTGTAGGATTTTGACCTCATAGATTCATTTGAAAATCGTAAATCTCTTCTATGTATTTCCGCCATTAATACTGATATTCTCTCACTAAGTCACTATTCTACCCACACAAGGACTTAATCTGTAGTGAAATGACTCAATATGATAATTATTGCAGATTCCTGATACATCCAAGGGGTGAAGAATTGCTTCTTTGTGTAGAAACTGCACCTGGTTTTGAAATGGTTAAAAAAACATCTTTATATATCTAATCTACCAGACTAAAACTCACTGCTGGAAGGAATGTTGAAACAGTACCAGAGTGATTACATATTCTCTGGTTTGGAAGATAAGGGTCACACAGATATAGAGGGTACACTTCTTAAGAATTCACTCTGTTTCAGTCTTAACAGTCAGTATGAAGAAGGGAAAAATGTCTTCTTCACAGAGTTGTGACCATTTGGAAAGATGGGAGTCAGGCTTAGAATAAGGATGGGTGGAGACATGGAGAAGGACAGTTTTAATAGAGCTGTGACCAATTCATTTTGTTTTGGGAAATGTTTCTGTTGTTTTTGGAACATTAGTGAGATGGATGGGACAATGAATATTGGGGAGATGAGTTGTTAGACTTGTGATGACTCATTCTGTGTAGAACTTGTTGCAGTAGCTGTTTCCTCTTCCTCTGGCAAGCTCTCCGCCATCCATTTAGACATCTCCAGGGTTAAGCTGGCTTCTCGTAATACCTGTAAAACAGAGGTCATTCAACACTTGAAGCTGGCTTCTTGTAATACCTGTAAAACAGAGGTCATTTAACACCTGAAGCTGGCTTCTCCTAATGCCTGTAAAATAGAGGTAATTCAACACTGAGGCTGGCTTCTCATAATAAAATCAAACCTTGTTATTTCGAACTCAATGGCTCTGAGTAAAAACTTCAAGATATCAGAGGATTTGAGATATCCAGGGTAAAATACTTAAGGAATGAGAGGTTGGGACTTCAAAATCACTTTGACATATCCATGGTATTCGAGATATCGGTGTTCAAGACACCGAAGTTCAACTGTAGTCTTCATCCCTACATGCCTCATCTATGCCTGTTTGGTTAGGGTAGAGCTTATAGCTACTTGAGAAAGGAAATGCTCTAAAGCCTTCAACTTTCTCACTTATCATGAAAATAGGTCAGATGCAACACGTGAAGCATGATTAAATGTATGTATCCCTAGATCATCCACTGAAGTCTGGGACACTTAATGCCAAAATAACATTATAAAAGAGTGTTCTTTAAAATCTTTTAAATCAAGGATCTGTTAATATAAAATGAAAGAAAAGTGATTTTTTTAGTTATATTTTCAACTAAGGCAAAGAACTAATGAGGAATTTTCATTCATGAAATAGATTTGAACCTATGACCTTTTGATTACAATTCTAATTGTTAGATCAATGAGCCAGATGCTTAAGTTCCAGATCAAGCTAACGCAACAAATCAGAGGTCAAAGAATTGAAGGAGGATTTTTTTTTCAATTGAAGACATAAATGTTCTGCTGTTAGGAAACACAGGCTATTTTAGAAATTCAAGATTTCTCTTATTGGGTGGAACAAATTTAGCTGTCTACTGAAAGCATTTGTAGAAAAAAGACACAGATTTTAAAATTAATTAATTAGATTACACTTCAAGAGTTAATCTTATCATTTTCAAGCTCAAATGGAGCCAAGACTTACTTGGAGGTGTTCTTCAACATCAGCCATTTTTTGGTCAATCCAGTCCATCTCTCCCGACAATTGGCAAGCATGTTTAGTGACAAGCACTAGATGATTAACAGACAGCACTAGAGCAGTACACCTGTAATACAATACATCTGTTTTACTGATAAGTACTAGATGGTTAACAGAGAGCACCAATGCAGTACACCTGTAATACAATACATTGGTTTTACTGATATGTACTAGATGGTTAACAGAGAGCACCAATGCAGTACACCTGTAATACAATACATTGGTTTTACTGATATGTACTAGATGGTTAACAGAGAGCACCAATGCAGTACACCTGTAATACAATACATTAGTTTTACTGATATGTACTAGATGGTTTTTAAATAGACAGTACTGGATCTGTTTACTCGTAAGTACTAGGTGGATTACAGACAGTACTAGTGCAGTACACTTGTAATACATTACCAGAGATAAAATGTACCCTTTTAAAATATTTTCAATTAACTTGAAACCCCCAATTGGAAAAATAACAAATCAATTACAGTCAAACTTGTCATAGCGGTCACCTTTATCCAGCGGTCACCTGTCCTATGCGGTCATTTTATTTCCTCCTAATGAATTTTCCTACATAATGTAATTCTATTAAACGGTCACCTGCGTAATGCAGTCAGCGGTCACCAAATGTCATGTAAAATCACCGTTTTACCTCGCCAATTTTGTCCGATCACGTGACCAGATCTAAAGTCAGGTGACTCCCAATTTTTGTCACTAATGTAAATAATTGGTCTTGTGTAGCGAGATCATGGAAAAAATAATTGGCCTTATTAAAATCATTTAAAATATTGGATAATTTATTATTTTTTTTAACAAAACTAAACAAGAGTGCTAGTGACCGAAAAGGTTATCAGGAAAATAGACTTACGAGAATCTTAATCTTATTGAATTGGAATCTGGTTTAAAAAAATTCTTAGTGATATTTAAAAAAGGCATCCTTATTTATCTATTAATGGATACAATAATTATGTGTTCCCTAATTATTAGTTCACGTTTGGCATGCCCAACTTCGACAGCCGTATTTGTTTAAACGCATGGCAGGCCCAGTGGCGAATTTAAGGGGGGGGGCGCACCCGGCACGCACCCCCCTTAAACTGTCAAAGTTAGCGTAAATCATAGTTTCGTCTAGAAAATGTAAAAATGTCTACTTCGTATACCTCATTTTTACCCCACAAAATCTCTAGAATCCAGGAGACCCCCTCCCTACTTTCTGCACCCCCCCACTTCAATTCCTGGATCCGCGCCTAAGGCCGAACACCTAGGAAATGTATTATTTGTAGAAACCCTTATTAACTGTTTTGTGTATTCAATGTGTCTTAATTATCTCGTGATTTCAACTAGGTAAGATGACCGTTAGGATTAGTCACGCTTCATTGCTCACAACACCTGTGAATTTGATATCAATTTGTATTATGCACTGCTTTGATAAACTGAGAATATTATGACTTTTCTGTTTATTATGCTACTATTTATGTATTATTAAACATACAATTATCAGGACTAACTAAAGTTGTTTTTTTAGAGGCAGTTTAGATAAAAAAAAAATAAACATTATATTTTATTCATGGCACAACATGATAATGTAATCATTTAATAAAAAAAAGTTTTGTTGTTGTTCAGAGGGAGCTAGGATAAGCAATGCCCTATTTGACTCAATATTTTTTTTGTTGGAGTCATCAAATTTTAGCTTGAACTTATATATATAATCTTGAGACTATTTAAATTTTTTTTAAAAATCTGAGACCACTGATTTCCAAAACACATCTTTCTTTAATATTCCATGATGTAGTATTTTAAAACATGGAACTTACATAAATTGGAAAAGAATTTTTCTTGAAAAAAGAAGAACCTCTTCTCAAAGGTCACCTCTCTATAAAGGTCACTTTTAATGCTTTCCGCAGGTGACTGCTTAATACAGGTTTGACTGTATTTCTTTTAATTCTTAAAACTTTTACAGTTAATAACCATTTTCTAAATATACCTTATAAAACACAAGAAACTCCAATCAATTTAAACACAGAAGACTAATACAAACCTGGCTTCTAAGAGACGTGGGTCCAGGGGGGGATACATGGCTACGACGACTTCATCAACCCGAGGACTGATCCTCTTAGCAACAGTGACTACCTCCGTCAAGAGTTCCTGGGTCTGAATTGTTTGGGAATTCCCCATCGTCATGCCGACCAACTGTTCGGTCAGGTATTTACAGGTCTTCAGAACAGAGAGACAGTGAGGCACTAAACCTCTGAAACATAATTAGACCATAATGTTATTTTTACAGTACAGTCAAACCTCATTATCTCTAACTTGATTGAACCAAGAAAAAACTGAGAGATATCCAAGGATTCGAGATATCAAGGGTTAAATACTTAAAGAAGTGGTTGGGACTTCAAATTACTTCCAAATTGACATATTTATGGTATTCAAGATATCCGAATTCGAGATACTGAAGTTCAACTGTATTCTATTTATTTATTAGTACCATATTACCAGGTTATATCTGGGGATCAATTCTTTTTTTGCAATTTTATTCTTCAAATGACTGCATTTGCAGATTTTGCTATTCCATTTCGATATACAATTAAGGAATGAAGCTTATTTTAACCTATGTTACAAGATATACGTAACTCATTGTGATGTAGGCAACTTATGTTATATGATATAAACGAAATCTTTTATCCAATCAAATGACATGTTACAACTAGAATTAAATTATTACAAAAGATATGGAATTTCAATATTTTATCTTAACAAAGAAATCAACGCACTTTATGTAAATGAAAATTGATGGAGAAAAATAGTCAAAGAATAAAGTTGGTTTAGATGTGTATGTACAAAGTATCAATGATCTACATGTACTTATTCAATAATAAAAACTTCAATTATACACAATATATTTATAGACTACATACGTAATATCATCAACCCAGTTTTCATCTTTCAGAATTTGGTCCAGTTTTGGGTCACCTATTTGAACATCCTCTAGCTCCACCGCAGCAGATACTGGTCTCTGTGGGTCCTCTTCAATTAACTGAACATCTGGCCTGTAAATAATTTACAGTTAACTAAAATTATCTGGCCCTTAAATAATTTACAGTAAACTAAAAATATCTGTCCTGTAAATAATTTACAGAAAACTAAATGTCTGGCCTGTAAATAATTTACAGTTAACTAAAATTATCTGGCCTGTAAATAATTTACAGTAAATTCAAAATATCTGGCCTGTAAATAATTTACAGTTAACTAAAATTATCTGGCCTGTAAATAATTTAAACTCAACTTAAACTATCTGGCCCATAAATAATTTACAGTAAACAAAATATCTGACTGTAAATAATTTACTGTTATACAGTAAACTGAATATCTGGCCTGTAAATAATTTACAGTAATAAAAGCATTAGTGAAGTTAAATGCCTTAACTTACCTTAGGAAATGCACATATACATATTTTTTTTGTTTCATTCCAAATCTGCTTAGTGTCTGAAGACTACATCATGGCATGATGCATTAGCAGGTGTATATAAAACCTGCTGTAGGCCTGGACTGATCCCAATTATAACATTTTGTATATGTATTGATCACTGGAATTTGTTTGTCTACCACAGATCCATTAACAATTTGTCTACGTCTTGATCACTGGAATTTTGTCTACTACAGATCCATTACAACAATTTCTCTATGTACTCAGATACCAAAAGATTGATCACAACAATTTATTTTTGTATTGATCACTGGAATTCGTCTACCTCACAATGACTGCAACAGTTTGCCTTAGTTCACTTTCTTCATTGGTGACCAAAATTTTTTCTAATCACTAAGATCTAACTGTCTTAAACTAACACCAAAAGTTTTCTGTTCTAGCCAGAACTGTATGACGACTAAATCTTCCCTTAATCAAAAACTTTCTATCATATTTTACCTTGTCTCCCTGTGTTGTTGGGTGATGAGGTCTGACTCTTTCTTACATTTCTGACGACACACAAACACCAAGGCAACAACGGAAGCTATGAAAACAGTAGACAGGACTCCTATTGCTATGGCAACCACAAGTTCCATGGCTACGGGGACTCCTGGGTGTCTACCATTGTCACATATCTAAACAGACCTACAAGGATGAAATGAAATGGTTAAATTTTTTTTTACTGAACAGAGTCCTCAGATAGTGTTAAACCAACAAGAGGCCCATGGGTCACATTGCTCACCTGAGTACTTTGGCTAGGTAAATAGCAAAAATCAGTTCAGTACTGAAAAGTTGAAATATAAAAGTGTGGGGGGGAGGGGGGGGGGACTTGATTTGAACACATTTGAATCTACACTACTTGAGGATGATTCTGAATTATTATGACTAATCATGGCTTTGCTGTTCTTGAAAAGAAGATCCCTGATTTTTAATGATTTTTCCTATATATTCCTCTATATATATATAACTTTGATCACCCATTGTGACCCCTGCCTACCCCTCAGGGGTCATGATTTAAATAAAAACTGCATCTACACTACTTGAGGATGCTTCCTTATAAATATAACTATTCATGGCTTTGCTGATCTTGAGAAGATCTTAAGAGATTTTTCCTATGTAATCCTTTGTAAAAATTTGATCGCCCATTGTGCCCCTTCCCTACCCCCAGAGGTCATGATTTTTGATTCTACAGTACCTGAAGTTGCTTCCATATAAATATGACCAATCATAGATTTGCTGTTCTTGAAAAGAAAATTTTGAAAGATTTTTCATAATGTAAAACTTTGATGGCCCATTGTGGCCCCTCCATACCCCTACCGGTCATGATTTGAACAAACTTGATTCTACAGTACCTGTGGATGCTTCCACATAAGTTTCATATGTTTAGCCCTGCATGTGGTTTTTGAGGAGAAGACTTTTAAAAGATACCATTCATTTTTAACTAATTTGTAATTATCTCCAATTGGAAGAAGGTGTGGGCCTTCATTTGAGCAAACTTGAATCCCATTTACCCAAGGATACTTTGCGGCAAGTTTGCTTGAAATTGGCCCAGTGGTTCTTAAGAAGGAGACGAAAATATGAAAAGTTGACAGACGAATACTGGACAAAATTTGATCAGAAAAGAAGTTTGCCATTGAGGATGTAGATGATGTGTGCTTTGAAACATTATTAAAGCATACACAAAAAGTAATACAGTAAAAACAAGCTTGTAAGGAAAAGGCAGAAACCAACAATCTCTATTTGTTATATTTGTTATGCTTGGCAAAGGAACAAACACTACCTATGTTAATGTCTTAGGTTGGACGCGGCACGGTGAAAGCAAATTGATTGCTTGATGACAATTACAGGTGTTTAAACAAACAAATTGGAGATGTTATGCTTAATTTTCACTTACTATATATAAAAAAATTCTACACTGAATCAGATTTATGCCAGACAAAGAAGTGATTTTAAACTAAGCATTATTGATAACATCATATCAACTAAATAAAAATCTCCCAGAAACAGTATATTAGATATATTGATTAAAATCCTGATTGATTAGTGTGATTATGGTGTGCAATGCTTCAAAAATTCTATAAAATTAAATAATTATGTTATCAAACAGTGACATTTCCAGCTATATATACTAGAATTAGCTAAACTTGCTATATTATGATACATTTATCTATTGTATTAAGAAGAATTTTTAACTTAGAAAAAGAAAAATAATTTGTGCAAACTTAATTAATATTTCATTGACAATAATGGCTGTTTATCATGATGCTCAATGAGTTAATTAAAGATGTATAAACATGGAATTTAGCACAAATAACCTGTGTATCAAGTCAAAAAAAGTCAGAAATAACATGTCTGTATATATAAGTACATAACACCAGAGGTTTTAATTTAAAAATAGATGTTTCTTCACTTAACCATGCAGATAAGGTCATCTGTTTTTAACTAAATAAGAATAAAGGAAATGCGTCTCATATGACCTCTGACCACTGAGATTTAAACTCTTCTTGGTATGGAAGTAAAAATATCATTATCACTAACCCATTGAGCATCCTTAAACAATGTTGCCTTATATGACCTTCTGACAACTGAGATGGCAAATTGTTACTCTTCTTAGTCTGGAGGTAAAAATATCACAAAAAATATCCATCAGCCCTCCTTAAATAATGTTGGACATTGATTTACCAGAAAATATATATTAACATCCAATTCACATAATGAAATATTGCTGAATCCAAATTGTCAAAATCACCAAGGAGGGAAAAAAGACTAAATTCTATGGTCCATTATCACAAAATCTTAGTTTCAGCATCTTGTGGGTAAATATCACATCTTCTCCAAGCATTTAAACACAGAGAAAATCTACGAAAAAAAATAAGACCAATTTGGTCAAAATAAAGACGACTCATTCCTCTAAAGTTACAACAGGAAATTACCTTGCTTAAGACTGTAATCTGAATATGCATCAAATGTTCAGAACAAAAAAAAGGCAATGTTGAATTAAAGTGACAAGCAAAATTTATATTCATGTTCGTCGTTAATGTATCAACCTGACAACTAACAGGGAAAAGGTGACGGATTCGACACATTTTCGTCAGGATAATTTGCATAAATTTGCATATCATACATGTCTGAACTTCACACAGCAGTGTATTATAATGATGTTATGTAAAGTGGTATTAATTTTCGTAAATTGGTGTAAAAATTGAATACATTAAAACTCTCTTTTGTGAATATCAATTCCAGGAAATAAGTTAGTTAATTTCTGTCAAAATAATAATTTCTTGTGCCTGAGTTTAATAATAAATAGGATATATTGAACATGAATTAAAATTTTCTATATCTCAATTATTTCTCTGAACAGCAACTCATTGAAAAAAATTCACTTCATGCATTACATTTTTTTTTGGGGGGGGGGGGGGGGGAGAGAGATCAAAAAACCTCCTGTTTTATCACCCATTTTTTATCTGATTCATATTTCTGCTACACTGTCCTAATAAATTAATTTCAAAAGCAATAACGGGTATTACACTCTATTCAACATGTTCAATGTTAAACTTTCATCAATATTCAATATTTACATTTTTTTTTTTTTTACAAAAATAATATTTCACTGTCTTAGTTAATTTTTTGGTATTACTTACACTTTCGTCAGTAGCAATTGTAGTCATTTTTCTCAATGTTACACTTTCATCAATATAATATCTATACATTTCTCTCAAGTAATAGAAATAGCAGAGTTACATGTTCATCAATAATTAACAATTTTACATTCTCCTCATTAATAATGTTACACTCTACTCATTAATAATATATGTTACACTCTCCCCAATAACAATATTACACTTTGCTCAATAACAATATTACATCTGCTCAATAACAATGATACACTTTCGTCAATAACAATATGTTACACTCTCCCAATAACAATATTACATCTGCTCAATAACAATGATACACTTTTGTCAATAACAATATGTTACACTCATCTCCCCCATTACAATGTTGCACTGTAATAAAATTGCACTGTCCTTAGTAGCAATGGTATATTTTCCTTGATGTTGCATTTTCTTCTAAGGTACACTTTCCTCTGAATAGCAGTATTACACTGTCCTCAATGATATACATTCATCAATTATAACAGTGTTACACTGTCCTCAATGTTATACATTCATCAATTATAACAGTGTTACACTGTCCTCAATGTTATACATTCATCAATTATAACAGTGTTGCACTGTCCTCAATGATATACATTCATCAATTATAACAGTGTTACACTGTCCTCAATGTTATACATTCATCAATTATAACAGTGTTACACTGTCCTCAATGTTATACATTCATCAATTATAACAGTGTTACACTGTCCTCAATGTTATACATTCATCAATTATAACAGTGTTACACTGTCCTCAATGATATACATTCATCAATTATAACAGTGTTACACTGTCCTCAATGATATACATTCATCAATTATAACAGTGTTACACTGTCCTCAATGTTATACATTCATCAATTATAACAGTGTTACACTGTCCTCAATGTTATACATTCATCAATTATAACAGTGTTACACTGTCCTCAATGTTATACATTCATCAATTATAACAGTGTTACACTGTCCTAAATGTTATACATTCATCAATTACAACAGTGTTACACTCTCCTAACAATAACAATGTAACAATCTTCTGAATATTTAACAAAGTTATACTTTCCTCAATAACAATGTTATACATTTGATCTTCTCAATCTGGAATATATCTCAATCTGGCAATACGGTGGAATTATTCTAATTCAAAGGGGCTAATTTTCACAGATCTTTTGCTAAAACTTAAACTTGTTGGGATATTATATTGCAATCAGACATCTACAGTCAAACCCTGTTATCTCGAACTCCATGTGTCCAAGATTAAACATCAAGAATGAAGACATCTGCAAATTTGAGATAATGAGGGTAAAAAACAGAAAGAGTGCATGGTTTGGACTGCTAATGTACTTTGATATATTCCTTGTATTCGATTAAGATCAGCATTTGAGATAACAAAGTTCCACTGTAATTATAAAAAGAGATCACTATCCTTCTCATTTTGTTGAGGTTGTAAATTTGAAGGTACGAGATACCCATGAAAAGCAGAAAAAAAATGGGACTCCCATGAAATGTAATGATTCAACAATATAGTAATGGTAGACTTTCCTCAATAGCATTAGGAACCAAAGAGCTTGCTATTACATTTGTGACAATGCTTCATCATAATTAGTAAAACTTAATTATTTCCTCTCCCTTATTTTATTTGAAACTAAGAATTCAGAACAATATCAAGTTTGTTTTCTTCAGAAAAAAATGTAAAACTTTCAAAAAAATTTAAACTTGACAATTGAAACATTAGGGGATACATGCAGAAATCTTTGAACCTGAGAAAAGATCATGTGTAAACAATATTTAAAACCTTGGTTTTCATCCTTTCAAACAGAATTCTCCTCTGTGATATTCAATACACAACTGCTCCTCAACTAAAAACATTGACAGACATTAACAAGGAATGTTTAATGGCTTTGAGTCATGTTCCTGTATAAAGACAAGTGTGTCCATCTATTTATTTGATAGAAATTTACATAATACAGCAGTAGTCAGGTTTCCC